AGCCATAAACGTGGTCAGATGCATATAAGCTAGAGGGCCTCGCTCCACTACATACTACATAGCATACTGACTGTATCTGGACCTGTTAGAGGTCCGATACATTCGAAATGTTCGATTGGTTCAAAATTCAAATGCAGACAACTCTCCAACTTTGACTACCTTCTTCACCCTAAAAAAAACGTACGGTCATTATCGCTGTATTTGGGATAACTTTCAGTCTATATACATCAATAATGACCGCACATTGTATTTGGGTAAAGAAGCTAGATAGTGGAGCAAGGCCCAGAGATAGTTGAGTACACCCTGAATTGGACATCCATGGATAACGCGCTTCCCTCTATGGGCCTTGCTGCACGGCACACGAAACAAAAAGCAAAACGGTTACCATGCATCTTCCCAAAGAAAGCGAACAGGTTCATCCCGTCGCTAAAAATAGTAACAATACGACATATGTGGATAACTCCTTTTTTTTTTCTTTTTTTTTTTCCCAATAACACCCACCAAGTTTGTCACATTGTCGATCGAACTCCGAAACCTTTTTTTTTTTTTTTTTTTTTTCAATAACACCCACCAAGTTTGCTAGGAGTGATGGTATGACCCATCACCCCTAGCAACTTGGTTCGAGGCTCGGCTCCAAAACTAATGCTAAATGATAGAAAAATAAAAACCTGTGAATTCATCTCTGTTTGGGGATTTTGGGATTTGGCCATCCATCCGCTACCCACCAAATGTGCGAAATGAGAAATGAATCTTCCTCTAAACCATGGAAATATACAACGCCATAATTTTTGTCCTTTTTTTTTGCATGTGGAGAGTAATGGAGCAAGGTCCTCTATACACCTATGACCTATCGAAGTGTCAATGTACACGTGGCCATGTACACGTGGCCATGCCCCACCTCCGGGGGCAAGGTCCCACTAGCAAAGAGGATTGGATTGAACACCTGAATCTGGACTTGTTTGTGGAAAGGTGTAGAATGTCGAGATTGAACTGCTTTTCCGCATCCCTGCTTGAAACACGTCCAGATTCGGGATATTTATCCAACCCTCTTTGCTAGTGGGACCTCACCCCAGAGGAGGTTTAGTTTTTTTGTCTGAAAATCTCACAACCACGGTACTCGAAACCAGAAATAATTCGGGAAAAAAAAGAACAGAAATAATCCTCGGCAAGTGGAGCACGGCCCACGGATGGTTCTTTCCTTGTATGTACTCCCCACATACTCGGGCTCTTCATAAGAAAATATAATACATCCTGAAAAGAATACTAAAGTTTTAAAATTCATACAACCAGTTGTCAGCCCAGCCTTTCGGTACCCCCGCACCGGTGTACGTGCACTATCTTGAATGTATCTGATGGCATTTACGGCAGGACCTGTCCGCATCTGACCACAATTTCGTCCAGAAACAGGTAAAAAGTGCTAGTGTGAGTATGCCCTCACAGTGCCCTTTGGGAAAAAGCTGCTGCAGCCAGGCAAAGCATGAATGCGTTGCGATGGTTCAAATCTTTTAGGGCTGGAAAAAAATTGGCACTGCGAAAACGAAGGCTTGGAACCGTTGGTTGGTTTGAAGTTCAAACCACCAGCACTTGGCCCATACATCGGCCAGGGGCCCCTCACTGAGACTCTTTTGGACACCGTAAACACAACGAAGGCCATTGATGAATGATGAGATTTATCAACGGCCACTCCACCCCAAAAGTCGCAGAGCGTGAAAATGAGGGGCCCCCAGCCGATGTATGGGCCAAGACTTAGTACTGGTGGTTTAAGGCAACAGTACCTTTGGCGGTTCTCTTGCCGAGCCTGGAAACGCCCTATGCACCAAGACAAAAATGAAGCTGCGCGGACCTCCTTTTGGCCGGTGCCGCCAACCATTCTGCCCTAGCAAGCATACCCACAAAGTTGCGGTGCATTAACGGCTGTGTCTGAAAAGAATAGCTGGACGGGTGGGCTTTGACTCTTGCTTTTCCGCCACCCTCCCTCCCCGCCTGCCTGAGCTTCCCCCCAATAACTGAGTTGGCCTTAACCCTAGACATCGCGCCAAAGGGAAAGGCCTCACTGCGCTATGCCTATGCCCACCTCTGCATCTTGAGATCTGATGCCTCTTATCTCAAGGAAACTGCCTTTTCACATCTGATAGCAGTGGCTATATGATGACCCTTCAAAGGCCCACCGTCTTCCCCCGAACACAGTGCTCCAGCCCCTTTCCCAGCTATTTTCCAGAGATGCGGCTGATAAAGAGGTGCAACTTTACTGGCTGAGCGGCCGTTAATAAATTTCATCAACAGCCTTTGTCGCGTTTTCGGCCTCGGAAAGTAGCAGTGAGGCGCCTGCCGCCCATGTACGGGCGAGGTACTGGTCGTTTAGACCACCAGTGCACCCGGCCTGGCGGCGCTGCACTGTGCGCCAAGCTTTGCCAAACCACCAGCTGCACACTTCTTTCTTTTTGGGCTGGCGCTGCCAAACCATTGTGGTCCAATAGCCTGAGCCTCCTAAATTTTAGAGTGGGGGATGAAGAAAACTTGCAGGGCTGAGGCCGTATGCTGGCAGTTCAAACGACAAGTACATGGCCCCAGCCTTGCAGTTCGAAACGCTGGGCCCGCCGTTGATAAATTCGATCGGCGGCCCCGTTTTCATTTCGCGCCTCCAGAAATTGAGGTGTCAGACCTGCGGCCCAGGTGCCCATGTACTGGTGGTTTAAACCACCAGCACTTTTCCCAGCGATTTTGCAAAAACGTGCACCGGGGTGCCGTTTCGTCCGAAATCCCTCCAGGCAAAATGGGTCGCATGCAAGGCCCGATTTGCCTAGATGGATTTCCTGCAAAACGGCACCTCCGCGAATCCCTCCCGACGCGCCAGCATGCACATCACATTTTTGCAAAACAGCTGGGAAACGTACCGGCAGACCAAAAGGGTAGCTTCCCAAAAAAAAAAAAAAAAAAAAAAAAAAAAAAAAAAAAAAAAAAAAAAGCGTAGCTTGTATAGGGCATAGTTCAGTAGGCCTCCACCTAACACTCTGCACCTTAAAGCACCAGTACACCACTCGGGTCGACCCGCGGGTATCAGCGTGAAACCTGCAACACTTCGGAGGCCGGAGATTTTTTTTTTCAACAGCGCCCCTGGCCATGTGGCGCCTCCAAGTTTTGCTTGTGGCAACAAAAACTTTCTGCAAGGCTGGGGCCATGTACTGGCGGTTTAAGCCGCAGGACATGGCATCCGTATGACCTGGACGTAGTTGAGTCAGCCTCCTTCTGAAGGGTGCACTCTGTTCTTTCTCCTCCTGAGAGCATACGGCCGTCTGATGCAAAATCTCTGGATCAGAGGGCCACAGAACATTCTGCCCCCTGAAAGGACTTGACAGTACTCATCGCCTCACTCCACCACTGTCGAAGTGTCCAAAATGAGAATGAATCTTCTGCTACAACAATTGAAAGATACACCGCCATATTTCTTTTGTCTTTTGTGCATGTTGCAAGTAATGGAGCGAGACCCTTTCGGATATACAAGGCTAGAAGTTTTTTTTTTTTTTTATTGATCAGAACAGAGGGTGGAACCGTGGAGTCTAGTAATTTTTCCACAATATGAGGAACTCCAAATTTCAGAGCTCTCGAAAAAAAATAAAATAAAAAAACATTCAGAGCTCAATTTTTAAAAGTGTTATGACAGCGTTCACCACGATTATCCCTCCAGTCATCATCAGTCATCACCATTATCCTGTCTTTTTTTTTTTTTTTTTTTTTT